TCATCGAGTCAATACAAACGATCCTTTCTTTAGCTATATTTTGAATTCAGAGTTTTCAGGTCTACATACAGTTTTGAATTCAGAGTTTTCTTTCATCTAGACCGGTTGCCATCCAGGGCTATAGAACCCAGTCTGTTAATTTCATCGACCGTAGTCGGGATCATCGAGTCAATACGAACGTTTTTTTTGCAGCTATATATGATTCTTCAGGTCTACATACAGTTTTGAATTCAGAGTTTTCCTTCATCTAGACCGGTTGCCATCCAGGGCTATAGAACCCAAATGAATTAAGGAGTCGACCGTAGTCAAACGATCATCGAACGTTTCAATACGAACAATTTTGAATTCAGAGTTTTCCTTCATCTAGACCGGTTGCCATCCAGGGCTATAGAACCCAAATGAATAGTCAGGATCATCGGTCAATGCAAACGATCTTTTGAATTCAGAGTTTTTCAGAGTTTTCCTTCATCTAGACGGGTTGCCCAGGGCTATAGAACCCAAATGAATTAAGGAATAATCGACCATAGTCAAATCATCGAGTCAATACGAACATATTCGTCAGGTTTTAATTTTGAATTCAGAGTTTTCCTTCTCTAGACCGTTGCCAGGTCTACTATAGAAGTTTTGAATAGTCAGATAATTCTTTCCATCCTAACGTTTTTTTCGCCATCCATACAGTTTTAGAATTCAGTTTTCCTTCATCTAGACGACCGTAGTCAGGATCATCGAACCAAAACGAACGTTTCTTATCTGCATATATGCTTCGTCAGGTCTACATACAGTTTTGAATTCAGAGTTTTCTTTCTCTAGACCGGTTGCCATCCAGGGCTATAGAACCCAGTGTGTTAATGAACCGTAGTCAGGATCATCGAGTCAATACGAACGTTTCCTTGCTATATGCTTCGTCAGGTCTACATACAGTTTTGAATTCAGAGTTTTCCTTCATCTAGACCGGTTGCCATCCAGGGCTATAGAACCCAGTGTGTTAAATAATCGACCGTAGTCGGGATCATCGATTCAATACGAACGTTTCTGCTATATGCTTCGTCAGGTCTACATACAGTTTTGAATTCAGAGTTTTCTTTCTCCTAGACCGGTTGCCATCCAGGGCTATAGAACCCAGTGAATGTTAAGATAAGTCGACCGTAGTCCTTATCATCGAGTTTTGAATACGAACGTTTCTTTTCTAGACGCATATAGAACCCAAATTCGTCAGGTCTACATACAGTTTTGAATTCAGAGTTTTCTTTCTCCTAGACCGGTTGTCATCCAGGGGCTATAGAACCCAGTGTGTTAATGAGTCGACCGTAGTCAGGATCATCGAGTCAATACGAACGTTTTTCTTTAGCTATATGCTTCGTCAGGTCTACATACAGTTTTGAATTCAGAGTTTTCTTTCTCCTAGACCGGTTGCCATCCAGGGCTATAGAACCCAGTGTGTTAATGAATCGACCGTAGTCAGGATCATCGGAGTCAATACGAACGATTTTTCTTGCTTATGCTTCGTCAGGTCTATACAGTTTTGAATTCAGAGTTTTCTTTCATCTAGACGGGTTGCCATCCAGGGCTATAGAACCCAGTGTGTTAATGAATCGACCGTAGTCAGGATCATCGAGTCAATACGAACGATTTTCTTGCTATATGCTTTGAATCAGGTCTACATACAGTTTTGAATTCAGAGTTTTCTTTCTCCTAGACCGGTTGCCATCCAAACGCTATAGAACCCAGTGTTTTAATTCAGAGTCGACCGTAGTCGGGATCATCGAATCAATACGAACGTTTCTTGCTATATGCTTCGTCAGGTCTACATACAGTTTTGAATTTTCCTTCAGACGTTTTCTTTCTCCTAGACCGGTTGAATATCCAGGGCTATAGAAACCCTTTCCTGTGTTTTGAATTCAGAGTCGACCGTAGTCGGGATCATCGAGTCAATACCCAAACGAATTCTTGCTATTAATTTTTTTCGATCCTTCGTCAGGTCTACATACAGTTTTGAATTCAGAGTTTTCCTTCATCTAGACCGGTTGCCATCCAAGGCTATAGAACCCAAATGTGTTAAGGAATAGTCGGATCATCGAGTCAATACGAACGTTTCTTGCTTATGCTTCAGGTCTACATACAGTTTTGAATTCAGGTTTTCTTTCTCCTAGACCGGTTGTCATCCAGGGCTATAGAACCCAGTGTGTTAAGGAGTCGACCGTAGAACCCATCGATCAATACGAACGTTTCTTGATATCGAGTTAATGATTCGTCAGGTCTACATACAGTTTTGAATTCAGAGTTTTCCTTCATCTAGACCGGTTGCCATCCAGGGCTATAGAACCCAGTGTGTTAATGAACCGTAGTCAGGATCATCGAGTCAATACGAACGTTTCTTGCTATATGCTTCGTCAGGTCTACATACAGTTTTGAATTCAGAGTTTTCTTTCTCCTAGACCGGTTGCCATCCAGGGCTATAGAACCCAGTGTGTTAAGGAGTCGAATAGTCGGGATCATCGAGTCAATACGAACGTTTCTTTCCTATATGCTTCGTCAGGTCTACATACAGTTTTGAATTCAGAGTTTTCTTTTCTCCTAGACCGGTTGCCATCCAGGGCTATAGAACCCAAATGAATAGTCGACCGTAATCGGGATCATCGAGTCAATACGAACGTTTCTTGCTATATGCTTCGTCAGGTCTACATACAGTTTTGAATTCAGAGTTTTCTTTCATCTAGACCGGTTGCCATCCAGGGCTATAGAACCCAGTCTGTTAAGGAGTCGAATAGTCAGGATCATCGAGTCAATACGAACGTTTCTTGCTTATGCTTCGTCAGGGCTACATACAGTTTTGAATTCAGAGTTTTCCTTCATCTAGACCGGTTGCCATCCAGGGCTATAGAACCCAAATGAATAGTCGACCGTAGTCGGGATCATCGAGTCAATGCGAACGTTTCTTGCTATATGCTTCGTCAGGGCTACATACAGTTTTGAATTCAGAGTTTTCTTTCATCTAGACCGGTTGCCATCCAGGGGCTATAGAACCCAAATGAATAGTCGGGATCATCGAGTCAATGCGAACGTTTCTTGCTATTGCTTCGTCAGGTACATACAGTTTTGAATTCAGAGTTTTCCTTTCTCTAGACCGGTTGCCATCCAGGGCTATAGAACCCAACCGTATCAGGATCATAGAAACCCTTCGTCAGGGCTACATAGAGTTTTGAAAGGTTCTTTCTCTAGACCGGTTGCCATCCATATAGAACCCAGGATAATCGACCGTAGTCATCATCAAACGTTTTCCTTAGCTACATACAGTTTTGAATTCAGAGTTTTCTCTTCATCAAGATATTGCCACGTATAAACCCAAATTTAATGAACTCGATGGAATTTGAACCCAAACGATACCTTTCCGGAAACTACACTACAGTTTTGAATTCAACGTCGATTCAGCTAAAACACATATCTTATATGACACATTCAGGTCGGTAAATGTAATTAATACTATTTAATTAAAAACAGAACATTTACTTAAATAAATTGTATCTATAAAATTAACATATAAACAGAAAATAAATTAAATAATTTTCAAACCATTTTATGATATATATATATCATTTATTATATATCATTTTACGATATATATATATATATATATATATATATATATATATATATATATATATATATATCATTTATTTAAAAAATTATAACATAAACATGTTATAAAATCACTACAAAAATAAAATTTGAAAAACATGTTGTCTTATCAAGTGATGATGCTGAACTTTGATAAGACACCGAATGTAAAACAAAATGGCTATTTTTATGATTTTAAACATGTTTATGTTATAAATTTTTAAATGAATAATAATATCTTCTCTACTTTGTATTGAGCACTCTTTTAAGAATAGTAAATTCATTCCATATATACCAATTATATATATATATATATATATATATATATATATATATATATATATATATATATATAAATTTCAGTCACGTATGAAGGGATAAACCTGTGTTTCTGTTCAAGAGACCGGGAGGAGTGCAAAATGGGTGATGGGTAATCTAATTCTGACATGTTCTGCATGCTACTACTCATGTTTACTGAATCTTCCTTCTGCTAACATAAATAATAGCCCAGATTCTGTGCAGCGAGTTACTTATTTGGCGTATTTAATTAATAATTAATTATTAATATCATTTATTTAATAAGTTTGCCGGAAGTTAGTGCGTAATATTAACGTTTTTTTTTTACCGCATTCTTTACTTTTAGATTTGATCGTGAATTAATTAAAAAAATAAAATCAAACACCAACACACACACACAAATAAAATAACCGACTATTTCTACGTCTAAAAATTAATTGGCACAAAAATCTATTTATTTACATAACTACTCAGTTTACCGTTTTCTTTGCTGGTACCGAAATCTTTTCCAAGATGAAGATAAAATTCTTGTTTGATATAAAGCTTGCGTACTATTTGCCAAGAGCAAGAGAAACAACGATAAAAACTTATCTCTCACTGCATGATAGAATTTTAACACTTTTTATGAAGTCTGACTTCAATCGCAAACTTTATAGCTTGAGAAATAAAACATTTTATGAATTAATTTATAGCTTCAATTGAAGACTTAAAATAGAAGTTTTAACATTTTTGTTAATCCTTTTACCCCAAGCAAGGCAATAAAGCCACTAAGACGCAAATGATTACTGAATGTGAAAGAATATGAAAAATAAAACATCAAGGAAGTAAAACATTAAAAGAAGAGGAATCAAGATTTCATTTGATTGATTCATTTTTTATGACTTATAGACACTTTGTAGGTTATTTAAAACCAGAAAATATTTTTAGATTCCAAGAATTTTTGCAGTGGGGAAATAATAATGGTTCAGTAATAAAAGTCTTATTAATTAACCCATAGCGGGGGGAGAAAGGGGGGTGTGAATTCATAACTGGAACTCGGCTCTTCCATTAAAAATTCAGAGCCATTACACCACCCGCATATCCAAAGTTACAACCTCCGGGTATTTCCAAGCGGTCACCCATCTAGGTACTGACGAGGGTCGGCGTTGCTTAACTTCAGTGATCTTACGGTAACTGGTGTTTCAATGTAAGCCACAGACGAATCAAGAAGACAGTATATGACAATTGACATTTCATTTAAATTTTTGAAGATAAAAGTTGTCTGGAAAGCAGGGAGCCGGGCGAGAGTTCCACAATCGAAAAGTGCGAGAAAAGAAACTGTTAGCATAGAACTTACGGTTACACCTAGCCAACTCAACTGTAAAGCGAATGAGACCTCACCGCTAATTTAGTACTACGCATAAATTAATAAAGACCTGCGTACGAGAGGAGGCACGGTGGTGTAATGAATAGCGGCTCGGGTTGAGGAATCGGAGAGCCGAGTTCGAATTCTAGTCGAATCCATTATATTCTTACGTGTTAATACCCTAGGGTAAGGTATGAATTCTCTTCTTCTCCTCACCCGAGCTATGGTTAAATAGCAGGATGGCAAATCGTCTACCACAGAAATGGCCACCTACTGCGGGAAAAAAAATTTGCCTTGTCAGAAAGATACATGATCTCATAAGCTGACTGACCATCGAGTACCTAGGCACCAAGTTCATAAGAACAATTGCGATGGAAGTATTTAAATCACAGAGAAGCGACATTACGGCGGTGAGACACCGGGATGCCAGGTCAGAACCAATAACATTGCAGATTCTTTGGGTTTTATCAAGAATTTCTAAATATATAGCAGGGGCATACGTGGGAGTAATATTTGACGCTTGGGCAGATGGCAGACTTATAGATATGTAAGATAGATTCTGGACATACAAATTGTCTAGCACGACACATTTAACCAACTTTCCATTGTTTTCCCACTAAAAGAATCATTGAGAGTAAACTCGTTCTTGGTGCCTGCATATGAAAAATGCCAAGGACGAGTCGAGACGAGATAACTCGTATTCAACACGAGATAACTCGTAACTGGCATCAAAATAAAAAAAAAATCAGTATCATAGGTTTAAAAAAGACATCGATTGATTTGTTATTTAACCTTCCAATCGAACCATGGGTCTTTAAACAGCCCCCAACAAATATTTGGTGTTGATATTTAGTAAGTGGCAAGTAAAATTTTCGTGATTAGTCCAATAGCTTTTCTGAATACATCTGTCGATTAACTATATCTATATACTAAGCATAACTGAGATGTGGCACAAGGTCGAAAGCAGGGAACACCCAGTGAAAATGGAACTCTCTACTCAATCGTAATTGATCTAACAAGACAAGCTTGCTGATCAATACACGACATCAAAGTGCTAAAAAATAATTTTCTAGCCATGGCTTAGTTGTGGCTCAAGGCCGAAAGTATGGAGCACTCAGTGAAGATCGAACTCACTTATCAGTCGTAATTGATCAAGCGAGACAAGCTTGCTAAACATTACACCACGTCGAAATGTCAAATAACGATTTTCTAAGTGTACTTTAGATGTGGCACAAGGCCGAAAGTATGGAGCAGCCAGTGAGGATCGAACTCACTACTCAGTCGTAACTGATCAAGCGAGACAAGCTTGCTAAACATGACACGTCGGAGTGCCCCTGGTTTTAGTCATAATATTTACGCAAATTACAAGCAGTTATGGTGATTTTTCAAGTCCGAAAATATGGGTCACTTTGTGTGGATCGAACTCACTACTCGGTCGTAATGGATCTAGCGTGATATGCTTGCTAACCATTACACCACATCGAAGTGTCCAAAATGATTTTCTAAGCGTAGCCTAGATGTGGCACAAGGCCAAAAATTTGGAGCACCCAGTAAGATTGCTAATCATTATACCACGAGGAAGCGCTCCTGTCAAGTATCTATAAAGAATTTCTCGTTTTAGTCATCATATTTACGCGAATTATAAGCAGTTATTTTGAAATGAAATCCCCAGAATATTCGTCGGAGGTAAAATCTAAAGTAAGGAATAAAAAAAAATAATCTGCCTTGTACAAATGCAGACCTTACAATAACTTCAAAGTGGCTCTTAAAGTAGATTTCCGAAGAAATGCTGTCTACCCGACAAAGCATGTGAAAGGAAAGTAAAAATTTTCTATAGGAATTGCGGCAGAGATTTATGCAACGATCATAGTAACATCCTTGCTTATTGCTAGTAATATGGGAAAAAAAACAGTTGAAGAGACATCAGATTGATTATAAATATAAATTCTTTTAAAAAATCATACCGGGGAAAAAAAATGAAACCTATTTATTATATCTAAACTTTTGAAACTCGTGAATTCATTTTTTATACTGGCTTTTTAATTTGACTTTTCCAAAAAGAATCGTTTCTTTTTACATTTTTTCTTATTCTGTAAACTTCTTTAGGACCAAAGATGAGAGTACTGAACTGTTACGTGATATCTGTCCTCCTGTATGGCAATGAATTCTAGACAATCTCCTCAAAGAGGAAAACGAGAAGCAGCAGAAATGTTGTTCTACAGAAAGATGCTGAGGATACCATGGACCGAACATGCGAGGAACGACGAAGTTTTAGGAAAAAATGGAAACAAAAAGCAAACTTATACTTAACGTCATGAAGATACGACTAAAATTTCTGGGAC